AACCGCATGAAAGACAGCTAAAGCCCAGCCCCGGTAATGAGCGAAATAAGCGTAACGCCCGCTCGGCAACGCGGTTTCAAAATAACCCCGGTATATTTAGGCAACAATGGGCCCCGATAAAAGCTGGTACGATAATTCCCCACGGCCTCAACCACACCTCCACTTTTCGCCGAATTATCAACGCTCGATGACGAAACAGCATTACTGAAATTAATACATAATTAATTCTAATACACGGCTAAGGCGAAGCAAACATCCAATCCTTTTGTTTTCTTTATATTGATGTCGATTTCGATACTCTTGAATATTCTACATAGTGATAATTATCATTAGATTCACGAAAAAAAGAAAGAAAAACTTTATATACAAGTAGGTACTATATGTTCCTAGATTTTACAAATTCTGAGAAAATACATCACGCAAATAATTGAAATAGTTTCTGTTTTTATCTGTCTCGATGGGTATGTAATATTCAGATAAGCCAATTCCCATGGTATTTTATTAATGGAAGTTTAATTGCACGTGGTGATGCTAATTAATAATCCTCTCCTCGACCTCCAATAAATCAAGTCAATTTTCAGTTTGATTAATTTCACCAGCCGCCGTCCAAGTTAATTTCTTGAAAATAATCGGTATAACATTTAATTAAGAGTTTCACACAAATGTAGCGTAACGATCGAGAATTCCATGCGCTGAAGCTCGTTCGAAGAGTACCGTAGAATACTTGTTTGTTTACTACAGCGATAAATAATCTGTTTAAAAAAACAACAATTTATGAAAAGAATCACGTTATGAATCTTAGGTTATGTGAAACTTCTAAGGAATATGAAGCAAAATAAGTACGTTGAAAATCATTCTCATCGTACAAGAACAAAGTTCAAATCAAATAATAAAAAGTTACTTTTTCATATAAGAGGAATGAACGTAGTCAGTTTCTCTCAGCTAAAAAAATTCCTAAACCCCTCTTGGTAGCCTCTTCTCACAGATGTTTGAATCAAGATTACAACATTCTTGCTTTTTCTCGTTCCCCGGGTGAAGATTAAAATCTGGACCGGCAAGAGCAGTTGGACCACCGCCATTTTTTTTACCGTGTAACATTATACCGCGGGTCATTTCCATTCAACGAACACATGGCACACGAAACTTGCGAGAGAAACACTTATATATACATACATACGTGTAAAAAGAATATATCGAGTAAGAAAGAACAGAACCGCTATCAAACGATCAGGAAATTCTGAAAATGTTAACGCGTTGACACAGGCCAACTTCGTTTCTGCCATATTTTTTTTTTCTTTTGACAAATAAATCATTTGAAAAATAATTATTGCCTCAGGAAATTAATAGGAATTATTTTCCTTTGATTTAAGAAACTGTTCATATCGTATGTACTCTTCTATGACACAGAAAAAGAACTAAACTTACTTTAACTGTATCGTATATTAAAGCTACAAATTACGTACAAATTGCCGCAACACGTTGTCCGCATATTTCATCTGACGACACAGAAATCAAGAGGACGTTTAACCGTTCGTTACACCGACGCACGTAACCTGCTCTAGCATTTAAACGAGGATGTTACAAACACTGCTCCTAAATAACATACACGGGAACTAGTAATGCTTAATGGAACAAAATCAAATCAAAGAAGTAAATTTTATAACTATAAAATTATACATACCTAACCCATAATAAAATTCCAACTCTTGTTGTTGCAAGTGTGATACGCCAATTGATGCATACAACTATTTATTGACATCACAGGTCAACTAACTAGAAATAACACACAGTATTTATTTCATAGAATATTATATTTATATTTGCTTGTGACAGTATTTCGCCATTCCAAATAAAAGTTATAAACTAATAAGGAACGTCAGTTTTCACATACCTTGCTTTTTGTAAATGCAAAAAAAGCATGTCAGATGGCGTCATTTGAAACAATTCCGCGCGCATTTTTAATTAAACAATACTGGAGAATAGAAATGATTCCCTTTCGTTATTGCAACTCCAAATTTATAATTTTAAATTATTAAATAAAATTAACTTATTCTGTTTAATTTATGGCTTCCTAAGATATTTCTCTGTATTTATAAAAAGCATCCTTTACAAAATTATTACTATTCTAAAAATGACTATAATTTCAATACATATTTAATCTTCGATTAAACGGAGGTATTATCGCCATCTATGTGTACTCGTTTCAGTATTAAAGAAAGTAAACTATTTTGAGAAAGTTTATAAAAATCATTATTCATATATGAAAGTATAAAATGACTAATATAAATTCGAAAATAAATATAGTTAGTAAGGGAATTGATTAAAACCTGATTAAGTCTTGCAAAATTTATCGACTGAGAGCAGACAAGACATAGACGATAATAATAAAATGGTAAGAGGGCTGTAGAGACGCTGAAATGTGTGAGACAAAAATCTGTTGGGTGTCATATCTATCCTATACCTCGTTTATGATTTAATGTGGACTGTTTACATTGTGAATATCTGAAGAATTTGAGTTTTATATGTCTCAGAAATTTATAGAAATATAAGAACATCAGGAAAGAGATTTTATTTTTTTTTAGTAGTTTTGTGAGAGGTGTATACATTGACAAGTTGAATTAATATCCTTCTACTTGAAGCAATAATTAAACAAATAAGAAAATAGACATGAAAGAAGGGCATAACGTGTCTAATATAACAAATGATGATTATATTCACGAAAATGGAGAGGTAACTTCGTAATTGCATATTTCATACAATATTTTAGAATAAAAACATTATTATCATAAATAGCTTTGTAGTATAGGTTACAAGTCTTGTTTAAGAGGTTACATTTGTGTTTACTTAAAAAGTATTTAACCTTCCATGTCTGACAGTAATATTTCATTGTTTAACATGTTTCTACTGTTGTATATAATTATCATATTAATAGTAACATATATGTGCTGTGAATTAAGTTAGTATGAGTTTATTGTTTATGCACTTATAATAGGCTGTTAATACAGAGGAATCTCCAGCAAAGCAAAAATTACGTGGATGGCTAAATCGAAACTTAAGAATAAAAATGACAGATGGGCGTATTTTAATAGGTGCATTCTTATGTACTGACCGTGATGCCAATGTGATTTTAGGATCATGTTCAGAATTTTTGTCAGAGGATCATACAGAAGCAAGAACTCTTGGTTTAGTAATGATACCTGGTAGACATATTGTAACAATACATCTTGATGCTTGATGAGCAATTGTTTTGTTTAAAACTAGCTATAGAAAATTTATTGTCCTCTATTTTTTCGAATTATATAGAATTTTATTATCTCTGTATTTCTAAAAATATACTCAGTAATGTGAATAAGATTACTAAAGAAGAAAGTAAGATGTGTATATAATTTATTTTCAACATGTTGCTACTTACTGTACAAAAACTTAAACATAAACTATAAACTGTAAACAAAAAATATTTCATCAAACTAGATGAATTCATTTGGTTTCTCTTTATCTGCGGATTCATTATTTATTTTACTGGCTGTAAAGAAAATGTAATAAAATTAAAAAGAATCAATTTATTTAATAGTAGCACTAATTTCATTATACCTACAATTTTGTATACATTCTTTTTGTACACCACAGTATTCTTGTTCAAGTATCATAATATGATTAACTTCTTCCTTTATAATCCTTAATGCATCATCTATTCTCTGAGTAAGAGTGAAAGACAAATTATCCAATCCTGACAAGTAACTTAATTCTGAAGCAGCTACTGCCATTTTATGAACATATTCAATATATCCTGTTAATTTCTACAAAAACATATTAAGAATATTTTTAATAAATCTAATATCCCTATATAAATTTATTTTATCTTTTCTTACAGTTAAGATTTCTTTTTTACTTTGTACTTGTGACCTTAGTTCAACTATCATGTCCCAATGTGAATCACTAACATTAAACTCTAAGGTTTCCCTTGAAAGGGTAATTAATTCACATAACAATTCCCTGCAAAATATTTTTATGTGATTTTGATATAACAAAAGGGTTTGTCACACTTCAATAAAGTTACTTAATCCTTTTTATTTTACATGAAGATTTACTTACTTGTATTCTTTACTTGTTTTCATTATGGCTGTATATGTAACAGTTAATGATTGAGTTGCACTGTTAACAGCATCTATAGTTGATTGTTGTATCATATATTCAGGAGTTAATTTTTTTATATCAACAGGTTCAAATTGTAATTTATCATTTTCTGTGGGTTTATTAGTTTCTGGTTGGTTTACAAATGTAAAGCTAGTAGCATACTGCATAATAAAAAGAAGTATTAACAAAGATAAGATATAAGAAAATTAGAATGTTTTTAACTAATTCAGGATTTTACCATAACAGGACTAGCTCTTTTCAATAATACACGCAGAAGTTGACGCAACGACATGACATTAATAAATAAATGTTCCTTTTCACAAAGTCATTAAAGTCAGGGTTAAGATACGTGATTGTTTTGAATAACACCAACCAAATAATTAATACATCATGAAAAATGAATTTTTGATTCACGTATTTAAAATTGTAACATACATATTTTATTTGCATAAAAATCCGTCAAAAAATAGACGTTAATACCAAAGCAACTTGTATTTATTTCCGAACTATATGTAATATTTTCTCACGACTGTGGTACGATCTAGCGACATGACACTAAATCAAATATAATCACAGCTTTCAAATTTTAAAGATATGCGGAAAGAATCTTAATATATATTTCTTAAAAGAGTGGAAATACAATTAAGTACGATATTTCATAGCCTTTTATTATAATTGTCGTAAGTAATAAATAATGTAAGGCTTATTACATCTTATGTATCATACAGTAATTATTAAAATACACAAAATATCTTAAATTTTATAAGATTTAAAATATTGAAATCTTTTATAATGCACTAAGAAATAAGAAAAATTATGAATCACACATTAATAATACTAGTTGCCATAATATGTAAAAATAAATAAACAATTATAATTTATTTTATTCGACATATGATTGTAGGAAGACTTTGTGTATCTATATTTTCTTACAATTATCAAATTTGACGATGTATTAACTGAAAGTAATATTAATTTTCCCCTCCTTTGGTAATACCTTACAAACTCCTTTATTCGCCCAAAATAATAAATAATATAATTTATAAATTTAAATTACAATTAGATTCATTTGGAATGGTTCTAATCATTTTGCAACAAATTCATAAAAAAACAAGTTATTTTACACACAAATTGCAACTCCTTTTAAACAAGTAATATTGTTAGATGTAGTTTTACCTCGCTTAGTTTAATTGGCGTTATAACAAACTGCATACGTTTGATTATAACGAAATAAAATATATAGTTGCACTATAAAAGGAATTATACTATAGATATAGTAGGGCACGTATAAGGTGCTGTGAGGTTAGGCGTTTTGTAACGAGGATTAATGATCAGGAATGTAAAAAAAATGAGTAAAAAAAGAATTGAATTTTTTTAGTAAAGATGTTGTCCCATATGTATGTATATGTAATTATAATGCTTGATGTAGATGCTTGTAGAAAATCAGTTTTAAGCTACAGCATAGAGCATATCTAAGAATATAGTATCAAGTATCACAATTAAATATATTCACAGTAGACGAAGTCCGACCAAATATGAAAAGCGATGTCATTTGTACATAATGACTTCATACTGGTAATTTATTCGTTTAGTAAATGTAATGCTCTTTGATAATGATCGTTTAAAACTATTCAATTATTATTCAAACCTGTTACTACTTGGCACTTAAGAAAACAAATTGTTTTATGATTTTTTATATAATGGTCGGCTATCTTTTTTTATAGTTTTGAAACGAATTACATGTTCCGTATTTAGTCTTATACAAATATACGAAATTAACTAAAATAACATTTAGTATTCACATTCGCAAAATAATTCATCCAGCCACAATAACACATAATTTTTCATATCTGATTTTAGTTTTTAAATGCACTCGTAAATCTGTTCTATAACATAACAAATTATCTGACTAAATTTCATTATATGCAAGGTGATGGATTCCCATAAGCAGGATGTCATTCATTAGATAGAGCCTCGATAGAAAAATCTAACAACACTAGTGGTTTTGCGCCGGAACCGCAGAAAATTTAAAAAAATACACCATTTCGGGGAATTTGTTGAAAAGCTTTCTCTCTGATTTCCGTTATTTTGAAATATGTTGTAAAATTCAATATTTTGAACAACTTTCCCTGTACTTATAACCGATGGTCGGTCTTAGTTTTGAAGTTATATGCAACAATATTTCACCACCTTAGTTTTCAATGTAGATTGGGTCAGTAATAATATTAATCCAGCATTATTTATATTAATACCGTTAAGGGGACTAATATTACTACTAATTCAACCCAACTTGAAAACTAAGGGGAAGCGGCGGGATATTTTTACGTATAACTCAAAAACTAAGACCAATTGCCAGTTATATGTGTAGAAAAAAGCTATTCAAAATGTTGAACTTTACGACATATTCCAAAATCATCGAAATCAAAGAGAAAGTAACTTTTCAACAAGTTCCCCGAAATTATGCATTTTTTTAAATTTTCTGCAGTTTTCAAAACCACTACTAGAGTGTTATTACATTTTTCTATTGATGTTCTATCTAGTGAGTGACATCTTCCTTGTGTGGATCCATCAGCTTGCATATAATGAAATCTAGTCAATTATGTAACGTATTAACCGAGATGCAATCGGCCAATAATAAGAATCACACACTTTAAAATAAATCCTTTTTTAAAGTTCTTGATGTATTCCTTCTTGAGTATTTTCATGAATCATCTTAGATTCGTTATCCTTTGATGAATCTGTTGATTCTTCTGAATCTAATGATTTTTCATTTTGTACTTTTCTATTTTCAGACGTATCTTCGCTCTGAAAATTTTCCGTTTCAGAATCAGCTGTTGATTTAAGAACAGGTTCAGATTCCGGTCCTTCTTTCGTATTTGTTGCATTCTCATTTGTGCTCTCTGTATGATTTGTAGCAGATTCTTGCTTTGGTCTCCATATTTTTGCCTTATTTATGAGATACTTCACTTCTCTATCAAGCAATGCCATTTTATTTGCAATATCACGAACTTTATATTTCACTGTTTCGTATAAAGCTGTCTCAGCAAACGATTTGATAATTGTGTCATAGTATTCCTATAAATGGAAATAAATATACGATCAATTATTCAATAAATTTATAACAAGATATGATTAAATAATTTACCTGAGTTTCATTAATTACTTTCTCTAATGTTTCTATCTCAACTTGAGTAAAGATTTCACTCGATAAACTTAAATTGCGCATATTATTTAAGAAAGTTGTACTTCCATTTAACATAGAAGTCATGCCTTTTAATACTTCTGGGCGTTCTCTATGTTCATACACGCGTTCATATACATCATTAGTAAGTTTTTGGAGTTGTAACAATTTTTCCTCATATATTTCAGCAGTTACACTGAATCCATCTTCATATAGCCACTCAGAAATCTCAGAACATGCTTTAAGTATGTTTTCTGCTTCTTGAGAAGTAGCAGCAGCCGCATATTCTTCGGATTCTAATTTTTGTTGAGCATCAATTATAAATGTTTCCAAATTATTTAAAGCTGTTTCACGTTTAGTTTTCTCGAAATCATACACATCTAAACGATGCAATCTAAAATAGCCATATATGGTATTCAAGTTAAATTATATACAATAAATATTTTACATGAAATTATTATCTAATTGACTATTATACTTACTTCTCTCGAGATTCAACAAGTTTGTCTCCAGAAAGTATCTGTGATCCTAACTTGATTTCATCTGCTTTGATAGGTTCTTTAATCGTTATAATCGTGGGCTTTTTTTCTTTCTCTTTTTCTACTTTCTCAGTTTTATTTAATGTTTTATCCTCAGCAATTGTACTCTCATTTTTCTTTTTTGTTTTTTCTTCTGCCTCTTTTTTTAGATCAGAGTATTCAGGTTCTTCATGAACTGGCTTTGTATCTTCTTTTAATGATTCCTCTGTTTTTCCATCTTTGTCTTCTGACCCTACATTTTTTAATTATACATATCTATCTCAATACTTCATTCACATTGACGAGAAAGTTATGTCAAATGTAATTACACTTCTTTTCAATAATCTTGTAAAGTTACAATGCATTTGACAATTTACACTTATTTTTAAAGTGTACTTTAACTTTCTTCCATATCATCTAATATTTCATAAATGCTTGCAAAAAATGGTTCTATATTTTTAAAAAATCTTCCTAATGATTTTCTTAATTACAATTCTTTACTACAAACATTTATCAAAAGGAAAAGAACAAACAAAAGGAAAAAAGATTATAACATTTTTTGCAATGCATTTTACACAAACCTGCAAAAAGTTTACTAATAGTCGAGCCAAGTATTGAAAAAGTACCCTCTTCTTCATCTGGAGCTGAACTTGATTTTTCTGATACTAATTCTACATTCACCAAATTAAGTATGCCACTTTCATCCATGGCAAAATGTGCTTTAATTCCTTTACTTTCTGCACCATCTTTAGCATGTTTATCTAGCGCTTCATTTATACCAGATAAAGTTATAGTAGACAAATTGAAATTACCGATAACACTAAAATTAAAAGATTATAGTAACAAATATAACTATTAATATACTTTAAAGAAGAAATATTAAATATACATACGCTATTTCATTAGGTGATAAGTAATCTAATTCAGCATAATTGATATGAAATTGGAAATTTTCTGTGTATTTATTAAATGTGATAATTTTCTTCTGTGGATAAGGATTCATTTTGCTAAATAATGATTTTTTTACCTAAAAGAACCATATACATTTAAATAATATATCTACCTTTAACAAAAATTAAAAGATAATAATGTATAATGTGGAAACTTACTTGTTTCACTCTGTTATCAACTGTTCTATCAAAAACAATATGTATAGGAAACAGTACAGCATCTTTAGTAACAAATTTCTTTACTTTAAACCCTTTACTAAGATCTGCAGCTTTATATACTGCACCTAATGCAGCTGCCTCATCTGTGTTGATGTTTTTAGACAATTCAACTGTTAGATACTGACTTAGATGCTCTTGTATTTTTGGCATTCTGGTCGCAGCTCCCACTAATACAACTTGAGATATAACATCCATTGTTAAACCTATAAGATTTACATTAATTTATGATAATATAATAAACATATCTTAACTTAATTTATTTCAATATACCTGGTGTCTTATTTATTAATGTATTTCAATATACCTGATGTTTTTAAAGCAATCTTAATCGGATTTGCTACTCGCTCAAATAAATCAGCACAAAGTTCCTCTAGTTTGTCTCTGGTAACTTGCAATCTAAAGTCGTGTTCCTCTATTAATCCTTCAATTTGAGCAAAATGATCAGTATTTGCACTTAATACATTCTTAACACGGCCAGCTTCCTTAAAAAGTTTTGCCATTGCTCTTGAATTGCTAAACACAGAGCTTGTTGTCTTGTTTAGAGCATCAAATTCTTTTGCCAAATGGTGTTGTAATCTAATTTGCACTTCTAACCCTCCTAAAATACGATCATAACCCACACCCAAAATAGTAACATGTGGATTAGTTTCAACAAATCCTTTTTCCTTTGTTTTCACATTCTGATAACTGACAATTGTTGCAGTTGTACTACTAGCTCCCATGTCATAGAACATTACATAATGTGCAGTGTCATTTATCTCTTTACTACGGAAAATTCCATAATTTAACGCAACTGCAGTATAATCATTAATAAGTTGCAAAACTTTGATTCCTGCAAGATCAGCTGCTTGCATGAGGGCTCTTCTTTCAATTTGATTAAAGAACCCTGGAACAGTTATTACTGCTTCACTGATCTTTTGGCCAGCTGAATTTTCTGCAAATTCTTTTCCTTTATGCAAAATTTGTGCAAGCAATTCTTCTGGGGTATATGTGGTATTTTCATCCAGTCTAAATGCAATTGTTTTACGCTCATCATCAGATATAATATGATAATATGGAAATCTTTTCTTATAAAGCTCTACCATAGGATTATCTATACTTTTTCCTAAAAGATCTAGAATATAAGAAAAACTGTTTTGAGGTGATCTGATTCCCACTACTTGAGCATCTTCTCCAAAACTTCTTTCTCCATTTCTAAATGCAATTGTAACTGGTGTCTTCCTCTTTGACTCTTTATTTAAAGCTATTTCCATAGGAACACCAGGCTACGTAAATCATTAATTAATAATATTAATGAAACTTGTAAATAACAAAATTTATTGAAGGTTCAATAATATGGATTTACTTACTGAAACAATAGCAACTTTCATTGACTCACTACCCATATCAATGCTCATAACCGCAACTCCATTGCTATAGTCAATAAAAGATGCAATAGTAATCAATAGCAACCAAATAATAGACATATTTAGTTTATCTGGTTTCATCTATAATTTAGAACAGATAAGAATACATATATAAATCTTTATATTGCTATATACATAAATTCACAATCTGTGGTACATTTAAATTTAATTTATAAAAAAATATTTATTACATGTGTTAATTTACTAAACATTGTTAGCTAATTATTTCACATTTAAAAGGATTTTAAACAGAAAAATATAGAAGCTAACTTAATTTATTTAATAAAAGAATTATATAAAGACAAATCATAGCATTCAATAGCACAGTATTTAAAAGATGACTTAAATTACATATTGCAATAAGAACACGAAATTGCGCTATATATTTTATAAATAGAAATAAATATCTATGAAACAATACACAAGAAATTTGTCTAAAAACTGATGTTCATTCTTAAAAGACACTTTTAACCGTACAAAAGATAGTACTTTTAATTGCATGAGGATTTCCATAAGATTGTCAAACTTGGTTATGCTATCCAGAAAACTGAGAAATAATTTCAAACAGCATTACTCACTTTTTCTTTTTATTCTAAAAACGTTAGTCTGATGACAAAAATACTACAATCCTTAAACCATTGGACATAGGTCTACGTACGTTTTAATTTGTTTAAAACAAGAAAAACAACGTACACCTCTTACTGTTTCGTCAAACTGAACAAGAACCATGTGTTTGTGTGGCACAACGGGATTGGTAAAATAAGATGGAAGAAAACGTTCATATTGGTCCGCGTTGGCAAATCAAAACCAATAACCTGTTATTCCTTCCCCACTGTTACAATAAAACTATGTAATTTCAAAAAACTTCGTGTAAAAAATTTGTCATTGTTCTTAATTTGTTTATTTACAATTGGCTTTTTAATTGTAGTTATAATGAGAAAAATAAAAGGGGATGATGAATAAAAAATTACCTTAAATTATAATTTATTTAAAAAATCAATGTATAATATTCAATTTTCAGTTATCCAATACTATAACAATAAATGCGAAATTTATTGTAAATTATATCCATGTTTACAAACACACAAACACAATATTTGTATATAGACATTTATTAAAAACAAAAGTGTTATCAAATTTTAGTTCAGCTGTTTATCCTACATTTTATAATAAAAAAATTATAACAAAAAAGTTGTTACATTATTAAACAAACTATTCCTATGTAATTGCATAACTTGTATTATATTATACACATAATTATTTAAATTTGTGACAATTCATAATGAATAGGCAATGTGAGTAAGCATATAAATAACTACTTATGTGTAAATAAAAACAAAAAGAGTTATACAACTTTACAATGAATTAATACAATTCATTCACAATACAATATGTAATTATTTGTTCTTTGATATAAAGTACTCCACTTTAAAATCCAGTAGAACTAGAAACTTCTGCACAAATATAAAAAAACGTTTATAACGTACAAATATTAGGTAACCTTATAGCTCTTCTATTCTTCCAAATTTATAGGTCAGAGATCCCAAAAAAATAAATACATTTTGTAAAAAGAGACCTACACCGGGCCAATGGTGCTGAGCTCCTAAAAGATCAAATTAATAGAATTAGGATGATAAAAATCAATAATCGAATTATCACATGCAATTAATAATCTCATACCAACCTGCAGCTACAAAATCTGCAAATAAGATCCAACAAGCTGCAATAACTGCAGCAAATCCCATTACAAATCCAACAAATAACCAACCTCTTGCACCTCTAGCTCCAAGATAACCACCACTGAGTGTATCACTTCCCATTTGTGCATTTGTTACAGAATTTATCCTGAAATCATAATTTTCAATTATTATATACTATCGTACAAAATATAATAAACTTAAACATTAACTTACATGAATAAAGATATAGTCCCAAATACTCCACATACATAATATGCTTTTGACATTTCACTAGGATACTTGGCATTAGCATCAATTATAAACCACCACCCTACAAAAAACTGAAATTGCAGGACATAATAATTATTTTGTTATATATTGTCTTTAAGAATAATTAAAATTCTAATAAGAAAAATCATGCATTTTAATTGTTCATATAAAGGATAAAAATTATGCAAATAAACATAATTTATATATAATTAAATAAAGTATATATTGTTATGTACTGTGTCAGTTTTATATAGAATAATGTAAACTTTAATGTTTACCAGAGTTCCGGCGACCATAGACACTATTACATTCCGTTTATTGCCTATTCCGAACCATACACATGTTGCGGATTGTAAACTTTCGAAAATTGACGTCATTTTTCAAAAATCGCAATAAAATAACTCGCGAATTAAATATTACGTTTAGACGACTAACCTAAATAACAACCATCAGTTACCAATATCATCACACAAACACAGTATACGTATAATAGCATAGAAAAGCTACATCTACAAAAATAGTTAGTTTAATGTAATATCGCGAGATTTTATTTTATAAAATATTTTCTTAATATAATATATAAAAATAATAATAATAAATAATAAATAATAAATTTAGTGAAATATTTTATAGAATTTTCAATAAAATTACCCTGTTGAAAAGTTTAATAAAAATCTTTAAAGAATTACTTTTTTTATATTATTACTTTTTTTATATAACATTATGATTCATACTAACTTATTACTTTGTTTGTAGTAAACAAAACTAAATATTACTAATTTATAGTAACATTTTGTAGTGTTACATGGTACGCTTTAAACCAATAGAAAGATAAATTAACACGTATATAATTGCGAGCACACGTCATATTAAGCTGTATACTTTTATAATAAAAATAAGTTGAATAAACATTATTCAGGAAATGACATTAGATTTAGGTTTTGTGGAGAAATGCGAATCTTGGCAATTAGAAAGCAAATTTTTTCCAAGTAAAGTCGGTGGTAAACCAGCATGGCTTGACTTAAAAAATATACCCGGAGAAAAAATTCTTCAATGTGAATATTGTAAAGAACCTTGTATCTTTTTATGTCAAATTTATGCACCGTACGAAGATAGTGAAGATGCTTTTCATAGAACGATCTTTGTCTTTATGTGTAGAAACGTAGAATGCTCGAAACTGAATAAAAATGGAAATTTAAAAGTATTTCGCTCTCAGTTACCAAAGTTAAATGAATTTTATCCATCTGAACCTCCTATAGAACAGAGTGATTGGAGAACTGATATTAGTATGTATCTTCAAGAATTAGTAAATTTATTGTATAAATGATTACAACAATAAAAAACAGCTTGAATAATTTTAGGTGTAAATAAGTGGGTAAAAACATGTTATATTTGTGGAATATTAGCACCTAGCCATTGTTCTAAATGTAAAACTGTAAATTATTGTTGTCGTGCACATCAAATATATGATTGGAAACATGGACATAAAGAGATTTGTGGTAGTAATAAAAAAATAATAAGGAAACCTGAAATCTTGTTAACTGAATATGAAATAGTGATTGAAAGAGAAGATAAAAAAGATATAGATGATTCAATTAAAGGAGAAGAAGAAGAAGAAGAAGAAGAAGAAGAAGAAGAAATTAAAAAGTATGAAGCAATGGTTCAAAAAGGTGAAGCAGGAATTTTTCAAAATGAAGACATGCCAAATGAATTGCTAAATATGGTTAATGAAAAGGAAGATAAATTATTTTCTACATTTCTTTCAACTGTTGATAAATATCCGCATCAAATATTAAGGTTCAAATTTCTTATATCACTCTTTTTTGCTTTATAAAAAAAGAGTTTTAAATATAGCAAATTTTATATGTTTGCAGATATGATAGAGGTGGCAATATTTTATACATTTCAGGAGAAAGCAAAATTGATGACATACCAAGGTGTTCAGAATGTAATGGAGAGAGGCAATTTGAGTTTCAGGTGAAGTAAAAAATATATTATTTTGTGATCAAAAATTGCATGTATGACTAACAAGATTATTAATTGCAGATTATGCCTCAACTATTGAACTTCTTAAATCTTGGAAATCCATTAAAATGTATTGACTGGGGTATTTTAGCAGTATTTACTTGCATAAAATCATGTGTACCTAAAAATGGATACAGCAAGGAATATATATGGAAACAAGACATCATAGAAAATGATAGTAATAAAAAATGAGTAAAATATAAATACTTGTAATACATAATTAAAATGTAAAAATATTAAAAAGCTACAAATATTTTGTAGAACAATTTTAATAATCCAAAATACATAATTATTTTGATAATAATAATTTGATTTTTACATTCTAAAAATCGTATATAATAAACATAGTTGATGAAAAATATAAAATAAGTATCATCTCCTAAAATTAAATCAACACTCGAAATTGATTATCTTTACATAATAAAAGTAAAAAATAATCTTATATATTTTTGAGCATACAATGTCATAAGAAAAATAACAATTGGTAGCACAATATGACATAATCAAAGAAAGTATCAAAATATTAGGTTCCTTGAAAGATTGTTAATAGTTGTAGCACTTCAAAAATGATAATAAAATAATATATATATATATAATCATTATATGAAATATACACTAATTATAGAATTATATACAAAAATATACTATATATTAATAAAATTATAAAAAAATATATTAATGTCTTGCATTAAATTTCCTGAATATTGTTTTATCGACTATTTCTATTCGTCGATAGAGGTAGTATAAAAATTATGTCAATCGTAAAATTAATAGTAGTTGATATAGGTAAAATTACTTTGTCGAAGAATGTAATATACATAAACTTTCTTGGCAATATTGCTTGAAATACCTTAAGGTAATACTCGTCACAGCCTTTGTTAAATTATCAGATAATTCAACAGGATCTTGTACACACAATGGAGAATCAATACGCAAATATTCAGGATTTTTTGAGGTTCTCAGACGTTTGGTGTAATGTTTCATTTCTTCAGGCAGCATGTTTGTCCCCACAAAAGCTTGTTTAGCTATAGGTTGACCCATAAGTGGACAAATAATGTAATGCTGATAATCAAAATTTGTATAAAATTGAAAAAAACCCATTAACAATGTTGAAATTGACTGTTCAGATTTATTATTATTTTTTGGTTGTGCAACACCAGTTTCCCATCCTGAAATAAAATTTCAAATCAAGTAACTATAAGTAACAAAAACAAGATTTATTTTGTTGGTAATGATATATTTTACCACATATGAGTTGAGATTTATTTTTCTCTTGTATTAATTCTGCAACACTTTTTAAATAAGATTTTCTTTGTAAGTAGAATATAACAAGCCAAGCAAGAGCATAATTCGTTAAGCCATGTTTTTTAGGTAAGTTAATGTAGGAGAACCATTTTTTTATAACCAATATTAGTTTCCTACAGGGTAAATATGCATCATTGAAAGACCTGAAAATTATTTAATATATACATAACATTGAATAAACATGCTGATCTATTTATGTATTAAATTAATAAAAAGTGAAACACATTACCTTACTAGTTTAGAACTCTCAACAGAAAGACCGTTTTTGGTAGAAACATCACAATGTAAACCATTTCGTTTGTATATTAATTTTATTATAGGAACTTTTGCTTTTTCCACTATTTTTTTTATTTCCCATTCTCCTTTTTGTTCTTGTAAAATTTGTATAATCCACATAAAATGCGTTTGTGCTAAAGTGTCATTGTCCTGATTGTCATGTAAAGTATCCTGACCGTATGTATTTTCTATGTATATAGCAATATAATAAATGATACTTCAAATTTAATAAATTCTTTATACTCTTAAAATACATACTTACCGCAATCAAGATATATGTCTATGTCACTATTTGGAAATCCAAGTCCAGTAACTCTTGAACCAAATATAAACCCTTTAACAGTTGGGAAATATAATCTCACGCTATTTTCTAAAGATTGTTTCACTTCCTGTGATATATTGTCATTCAATAAAACTTGTGTTTGTTGGAATAAAATATCAGAAATCTCGTCAATTTGTGTTAACATTTGTTTCATATCATCAGGAAAATCCCCAATCATAAAATCTTGACTTTTTAATAAATATTTATGCAATATATCATCACAGTGTTTTGTATAAGAGTCTCTCTGACTTAACCATAATGTAGTACATGGAATACAAAAGTCGAATATTTGATCACTCAAAATTTTACTGTGTTTTGTATTAATATGCGTTATAAATTCTAATTTAAATTCAAAATTCTCTTCACATAAAACACAACAAAATCTCTGAATATTATACCACAAATTCTTAATATCTTGTGATATAGAATCAAAAATGGCATCTATAACTTTGGCTGATTTTTTATATTTTTTTTTATGTATACTGCTTTGTATATGTAAATTAATACTGGCTCTATTATTACTAATAGGATTTTCACAAGCATAACACTTTAATGAAGAATTTGATAGTTTCTTTATGTATTGCCTTGATAGTTCATAAAAGTTTATATCTTTTTTAACTTGATTAACTTGCGTCCTATGTCTTTGGAGACATATATGTTCATATACCAAATATAATTCTTTTGAAACTTTCTCATTGCAAGCTAAACAATAGAGATATGTTCTATCATATGGCATAATTAATTCCAAATTTATTTTAATACTTTCTAGTTTTTGTTGAACGTTATACATTTCTTCTTCAATTTCTAAATATCTTTTAATGTATATTTGATTCAGACATTCTCTTAGAGATTTCTTTTTTGATTTGCATTCTTTTGGTGTCTGTTTGTCAAATGGTGATTTACATAAAAAATCTGTGATTTGTGCTCTCACTCTATCTGTTATAATAGAATCATTATCAAAACTATTTAATTTAGAGTGATTGCTATTACTAATAGATAGTTTAGTCATTTTTGTTGTTAATGCAACAACATTACTAGCACTTGATTGATCAACATTTTGACTTTTCAATTTATTCTTATGAGTCATTCCTTTGACATGTGAAACAATATTATGAATTGATCTAATTTTACGATTACATATTATACATATATAGCTATCAGATTCAAGTATCATAACTCTCTTGTTTAACAGTTCTTGTTGTACCATTTTTAAGCAATTCTTGTTACATGATATTGAAGTACAAATTTTGCAATTCCTAGTCTTTAGATTTGGTTGTTCTTTTTTTAACTTTGTTGTATCTGAAAACATATATTGTGTTCATCAAAATCTAATTCTTTCTTTTCATTACTAATATTGACATTGTTTATAATTTTATAATTATATTTATTCATGCTATGACTTTCTAATGATTTGTTTTTTTCTCCATTGACATGTGACAAAACATGACTTAGAGAAGGCAAAAGACACACAATTCGCACTTATACAGTACTTCTTTATTATTATTGTAATGAAATGTATAGTATACAGGAACCATTATTTATGAGAGTTTTATATCTTTTATCTGAATAATTATGGAATGTTCTAAAAATCTTAAAAGGTATATATTTATTATATTCATTAGTAATATATGTTGTAATAATATAATATATGAACTATATACAATTATTAGTCTTAGATTTTACATTACATTTAAGAATTTTTGTACATTTTCATAAATTATATCTGTTAGAATTATGAAAAAAAAGAAGTTATAAAGAACACTAACGACAGGTGTAGCTGATAAATGCGCGAGGTGCCCTCTAGATAATGTAAACAAAAAAGGATAGAATAGTATTATAGGGAAAGAGATAACTATAATATAACCTTATCTGATCAGTTCTCGCGAGAGGTATATTTCTAAAAAATCTCGAATATCTTTGTACATTATTGGGTGTGAATAGAATATAAATATCCGAATTATTTGTTTATTCTACATACGTACTCAACACTAGGCACTCATTCCATACAGTTCCGAAAAATGGCTAATGAATATGGTTAGATATGATGTTACACATGTATAAGTTATTCCATCAGATAAACATTTTAAAAATGTAAGACGAATATTTTATATACCTTGTATAATTTTAATCATTTCTTCTTCAATCCCAGAAATCTCAATGTTATTTCTTAATAAAGCCATTTAAAATACTATATATGCACTTATTAAAATTTTATATCAGTATTTTACGTCACATTCTAATATTGCACATTTGATAACTGCAGAGGAAGTAACAATTTATTTTCCTTTATAGCAGAAATCTATATCTTAATCATATATAATGAATCATACCAGATCAGATAGTATACTAGTGATAATACAATATTGTTGGAATCCCCTAACCTACTAAGTTTTATTTCTAGTGTCTTTTATACTTATGTAAGAAATACCAACTGTCCGTTTGTGCAGTAAAATTAAGCAAAAGTAACCATTTTAGAAATCAACTTAGTGCTTAAAACATATTAATTTATAATAGTTACAGTGTCATGAGCAACTCTTTACTTTTATACGTGGTAGCCATATTTAATATAAGTTAAGGATTAAATTCTTTCTAACAAGTTTCGAATAGTTCTATATAAAAACAAATTTTTCATACGTAGATTACCATTTAAACCTTTTCTTTAATAAAATATTTTTGATTTGATGTATTTATGTATTGAAAGAGTATATTAAAGATATGTTGCATAAAGTTGTATGGTTTGAATCAATTATACTGATTAACGTAGTTCGATTGAGTACCTCTATACGGAAGTGACAGGAATTGCGATTGGTAGGGTAGCATTATTTTATTACGTGTCATGTACGCAAATCTGCTTTTCTCGATTGCTTGAGAATACTAAAACGAGCTTTTGAAGTTTTTAAATATTTTATTATTTTAATTATTAAAGGTATTTAAAATTTGTATGTTTATCCATTCGTAGTAGAGTGTACAAGTTTACTATTTTCGTTTATTATGAAGTGCACGTTAATAGCATTTAAAATTGTCATAAACATATGCAACAGAAATCTATTTAGTTTACTTTGTTATTTCATACTTTGAGAAATAAACTCGATAGTAGGACTCAAATAATAAACATACCATTCGTAAAAATTGACATTTGTGATTAGCAACACTTTCAAGATTTTGAATTAAGTCATAAAAAGTTACATACATTAATTTTCATTAGCAATTATTGAAGAATATTTGTGCACTTCTCTAATTAATATTCTTCTAGATTTATAGTTCATTATCGATTTATTTACAAAAGAGACGGTGAGTTTATTTCATTACTAAGTGTCATTAATGTATATTTTGTTTACAGCAAGAAGATGCGTCAATTGAAAGGAAAGACAAAAGAAACAAATAAACAGAAGAAAGAAAGGAAAAAGGAATTTCTAGAGAACAAGCAGCGTGTTTTTACTGTTGTGTTACCAACCATTGCTGCAATATTTGTTGTAATAGCAGCATATGTTTATGTTAAAACCCGTCCAAAAGTTGTTGAGTATTAATTGGCATGTGTTCATTATTGATCATTAAACCACAATACACAATGTATTTTGAGAATGCTTGGACAGTTCCTTGATACATTTGTACAATTAAATAAGAATTATTTAAATAAGAAAGCGGATTTGAATGTCTGCTCATGGCACTTCATTCCTAACATTCTATAATCAAATATAGACATTGTGCATTAATTGTATGACTTTTACAAAATATTTTTCACGCTAAATGTTATACGATATTGGGATATATGTATGTGTATATATATATACCAATTAAGGGAATATAATTAAGACGTTTTATTATATAAAAAGAAGTAATATTGTGCTATTATTGAAAGATCTGTATGTAACAAAATAGTTAGCTTTCAAATTTGTATATTAAATTGCAATTTATTGCATTTTCTCAAATGCAATTTTATAAAAGATGATTAATTTTAGTAAAAAGTTATTCCAATATGAAAACGTAATTCCAAAGATGTTGCATTTTTAGCACAATACAGATGTTTTCCACATGAATTATTTTACATAGATTTATGAACTATCCAGTAATTTTACTATTCTTTAAAATAAGAATAGAAAGTATTGTTTTATAAAATATTTGCATAATAAACATGAATATAAAGTAATTTTAAAGTACATTTATTTCTAAAATTATTTTTTTGCACTACAGTTTTCCCTCTTTTTTTGCATATTGTATATTGTTTTTTTCTCTTTATTTTTTAATAATTTTCGAGTATATATTTTTTTCATAGACAATATTCCACCTGTGTCAGTATTTAATAAATTATAAATATGTAACTTACGGTTGTAAAAAGATTGAGAACCACTGCGTTAGCCACATTACATACACCCTTATGGTCTAAGCATACACCAATAGGAAGTTAACACGAACATAGATGTACACGCGTGTATTGAACTTTCGGTATCTATTTCTTTGCAGATTGAGCACTTTATTATTATTTTAAAAATGAAAGAAAATTTCATTTATTTCTCATTTGTAATTTCATTCGTGATAGTTATACTCTGGACAAGTTCTGTAAAAGGTATATTAATATTTATTGTGCTTTCTTTGAAACGTCAAAATCAAGTACAGTAACATATATTTCAAAATATTACCAATATTTTAAATAAAGTTAATAAATTAGTATATCTTACACTTTGAAAAATTTTTTAGATTTATTATTCTAAATTATATTATTATTATAGAATAGTTTATTAAATTCATTGATATTTCTTTCTGCTAACCTATTTTCTTTTGTTTTCCTTTTTATATTAATAAAAATTTTATAACTAAGCGTCTTTGTAAATATTATTCATTTTAATGTATTACATACAATTGTATTATATTACACACAAAGTATTTATGTGATTTAATTGCACATTGTTCTTAAGAAAAGTTATTGTAAAATTTATAAATAAAAGAATATGTATATATACAGCTAAAGGAACACAACATGTGACATGTGGTTCTACTTTAAAATTAATGAATGTGGATTATAAAGTAAGATTACATTCTCATGACATAAAGTATGGAAGTGGAAGTGGTCAACAATCAGTAACAGGAACTTCAGCAAAAGAAGATGGAAATTCTTATTGGCTTGTAAAAGCAGGAACAAAGAAACAGTGTACCAGAGGGTAAGAATCTAAGGTGGTAATATATCATTTATCTTTTAACAATAATTACAACAATTTTTGATAGAACGCCGATCAAATGTGGAGATATTATAAGACTAGAACATATAGCAACAAAAAAGAATCTTCATTCACATCGTGTTAGTTCACCACTTAGTGGTAAACAAGAAATATCTGCTTATGGTGACAACAAGGGAGAAGGTGACAATGGCGATAATTGGCTTTTAGTATGTCAGATTGAATTTTGGAAGAGAGATGAACCTGTTATGTTAAATCATGTAGATACAGATACGTAAGTTTTCCATATTTTTATGGCTATATGTAAGAAAGAATTTTTGAAATATTAAAAATATTTTATTCTATAGATACTTAGCAGTAAGTGGAAGAGTTTATGGTAACCCTATTACTGGTCAGACTGAAGTAGTGGGTGAATATTCTGCTAGGTCTCCTCATGTTGAATGGGTAACAACAGAAGGAGTATTTATTCACCCTAATGACTTTAAAGCTCAACACCATACACATACAGAATTATAAAGCAAATTCTTTAGTTAGATACAAAATTTTTTATGGCAATAGTCTTATAAAAAATAATTCTATATAAACTGAAATTATGTAAAAAGATCAGTATCTGATTACTCTACATCTCTATAGAGAAAGATTCTTCTTAATAGTATAAAAATAATTTATATGATCTTATATAATATATAAGAAGATAATTCCATTAATAATTTTCAAAAAAAATTGTATATTGCCAAAAAATTACTGTTACCTATTTTTATGATCTAGACAACAGCCAAATAAAATGAATAATTCTGATTGCTTTTGTTATGATCTTTATTGTATGTGTGAATGTAATAACAAAAAATTATTTCATGATACTGTATTTATGAAAATTTATATGAAGAGTGCAGTATGATTTGTGCAGATGTATAAATGTATTAAATAGATGTGATATTTATTACAATATAATACAATTTACAGTAAATAAGAAACGTGTATTTCATTGTATGTATACACATTCGTGAAAAAATGTATAAACATATTTTAATAATTAGTTGTTGTAATAAGTGTTTCCATTTTACATTATATTTGCTTTAATTCATATTTTCCATTAAGGTCTCTAGTCCCTATAAGACCATTATATGGGAAAATAATATTTGAAAGGCCATAATTTCCAAAAATTTCTCTTAAAGTTTGTTTTCCTGATATATTTGCATACCGCTGTTTACCTGACATACAACTATGCAATTTCCATGTTGCATATACCAAACAAATACACAAGATAGAGACTAATATGTCAAACATTGTTACAAGTAGTATGTAAGTATTTTCTCTAGAATGCAATAATCTAACAAGAGCAATAGGAAAACAGAAATTCAAAAATATATTGAAGGAATCCGTATCTGTTCTTACTACACGATTAATATTGTCATATAAGTATGGCCCAAGAGTACACAATGAATATATACATGTTAGAGATGTATAAAAACAAAATAGAATAAAATTACCTATATTTTGTCTTAATATACAGGCACCCAAGAAAAAACAATGATGATCACGAAAATGGAAGCACTTCCTACAAAAAACACAATGCTGTGTTGGTTTGCATGTATAATTAATACATTTTTCGCAATACCAATATTTATATTCAACATTATCTTCTGCCTCATTATATATTAATAACTTCTTTCCCATAGTTTTAACTTCCATAATTGTTGCGTTATGACTTATAGTATATACCGAATACCAATTCAGATATACTTGAACACAAAAAAAGATGAAAACTGGAGTAAGCTTTTCATTAATATACGTTGTTAGAGTGATAACAGCTATACTATATATTAATGCAATAAATGGACAAATTTTTACAATAATTTGTGGGAATGCTTTCATATTTTCTAATTCTTTTTAACGTTATTTATATAGCAAAAATTTGAATGAAATATAATGAATTTGAAATTGTTGTCTCCTTCACATTCTTCCTTATTATTTTTATGTTAATCCACTATAATTTTAGTACGAGTATATTTTGTCTTTTCCTGCAAAAGGAAAGATATTACACAAATTTTTCTATCAGCTTTTTATACCTTAATAATACAATAAAACTTTGACTTTTATTTCTATAACCTTTCAATAGTTACTGTATAGACTAAGAGAAAGATGTTTGATCACAAAATTCGAAACATCGATTAATTTATTTTTTAGAAAACAAATATCCACAATGAATTCAAAATATATATTAAAATATATATTCAATGGTAGGTTATAAGTCAATTGTTACTGGCTATAACCCCTTCAATATAATTGCAAATATTTTAATAAAAAGGATTACCTTCTTTTAATAAAGAAACGTTGTTATTACAATAATATATATATATATATATAATGTTAGTGGTATTCAGTTCTTTTATTTTTTCTACATATTCAGATATTCATAGAACATAATTATTTGGTAACTATGTTTTAACTTGTAAGACTGCAGAAACTAATACCAGAGAGGAAATTTCTTCTCTGTCAATACTCCAAAAATACGAAGCATATAAAGTATGTAGAAATCATTAATCGAAATTACGAAGTTCTTAGTTGAGTTTTTAACATTATAATTGGAATAAAATATGAGAGGAAAGTTATTCTGTCAGTTGTTTATACATAAAAATGCATTTTGACTAAGCACTAATATTGATATCTAGGAGAATATTAATAAACAAGTTTGTTGTATAAAAACAATTATTTTTATTGATATATATGCATACATTAAATGTGAAAAAATAGTAGATTTAATAAATAAAATAATAAAATTTTTGTCTAAAAATTTAACTCTTCATTTTACTAATTATACAAGTTTTTGAGGATACTTTTGAATACATTCAAGTAGTATAAAAATAAGCTTAAATTATGCATATTTTTAAATAAATGGGTAATTTCAAAAGTAAAAATTTAATGAATTTCAAGATACATTTAGCAATTAAATATATTCTTTTTGAATATATCAAGTACTAAATAGATTTCTCTTCACTGATTTTTTTATACATATTTATACATTTATTTTTTATTATGCTCAAACTTTGTACATTTTTTGTAATGAGAAATCGAACTTTGAATTTGTATGTTATGTTTATAAACATATATATAGTATTAAATAAGCACATTAAATGTATGTCATTTTTTTACAAAATTATTTTTCACTTTCTTTTATTTTCACTAAAAAGATGCAACTTTTTTAACTGGAAAATATAGAAAATGGTACTAACATATAAAAAGAAATTTTAAAAATATCGACGATTATTTACATTTAATTTACATTACCGATTTTATAATTTTTGTTCTCTTATATACAATACATTCAATCTTCTTTGTTTACATGTAAAATACTTTATAAATTGTGCATTGTTAATTCAAGTTCACCCGTTTCGTATCATCTTAAACATCAAAAGTAGCTTAGAGTGTATAGTTCTACACTATTATCCATTTTATTATGTAATCTAAAATTCTGTTTCCTAAAGAAAATTTATCTTGTACTTGTAAAACATAATATGAACATATTATGATTTTTATAAGTTATCAAAATATACTACTATAGTAAAATGCTTGTACAACTAGAACCTGAACCTCCAACTTGATGTGTTGGTAGACCATTTCAGTAAGTATGTGGTCTTCATTCATTGTTTTTTGATAATGATATTATTTAATGATATTTACAAATCACGAAAGTTCACCAATGGGTGCATTTTGTAACCACAAATCATGTATGAAATTATATAAATCATCACTAACAGCCACCTGTATAAATTCAATTATTTTAGAAAAATATCATGTAAATGTAAACATTTATTGAAACTTACTTTATATGGTGTAGGATTTAAATTTCTTTTGTGATCATTTCTGAGTGTTTTTAATGATTCTTGAACTCTATTTCGTATTTCTTGTAATGTAGGCAAAGGTTGGCATAATTTACCATTTTTCCAGTATACCTAAATGTTTGTAAAAATATATTGTAAATCTATAAAAATATTATAAAATCGTGCTTATAAACGTTGATACTTGTTCAATTTACCTTATGCAATGATTCCACTCGCGATGGAATAACATAAGCTCTTTTTGATTCTTGGAAAGGATGCCTACAAAGAACTTTATGTTTTACTTGTGGAACTTCTTCTGTTGATCTTTGTAACAGATCGATCAAAGCATATCCATCCGCTCCATATAATCTGAATGCATCTTTCTTTCCTGGTATTGTTACTTTACCAACTTCCTGACTGAGTTTAATTCTAGGTTGACCATTAATTTCAACCATTTTATAAACGCAACCTAATGCTGGTTGCCTTTGACATGTTACCAAATGTGTCCCAATTCCAAAACAATCGATCTTATGATTCTATAAAAGAACATCCTTTATAAGAAGCAGAAAAATTTGTTGCAAAATAAAGTTGAGATTTCTTTCATGTATATTTATTTACCTGCTCATTTAAACTCAGAATAGTCTCCTCATTAATATCATTTGACGCACAGATTGTTAATTTTGCAAACCAAGGTATATTGTATTTGATGGCAATTCTTTCGAAAATATTTCTTGCTGTATTACTTAAATACGCCAAATCACCGCTATCAATTCTTATACCAACTGCTTTATAACCCAAGTCATTTAAAGCTAGTGCCACTGCACAAAAATTTAGAAGACCACTCCTGAGTAAAAAATTTACTTATATATTACACATATAAATTGTATAAATGTAAAAGTACACGAAAGACATTATCAATTATACATGCATCTATATGGTATTATGAATGGTATTATATAGCATTATGGAGTCTGAAACATAATGTAAGTACACAATTATTTTGTATTTTATGAAAAATATATACATATTATAGATTCTTTAAATAATATTAAAATCTACTACTATTAATACTGTAAAGTATATAATATGTACTATTATTAATTAAATGAAATGCATGACTTTTTAATGGTTTTATATGAGTTGTAATAGGAAATGTGAATAAAATATGAATTATTAAATTACATGCAAGCTATCAATTTTAAGATTATGCTAATTATGGTACAACAGGAGAAAATTTTGTGTTAGTAAAGCAATTCTTTCATTTTATTAGCATATTCTCTTTTTATCATTGTATGTTTTTCATGATTTTTAGTTAACATCATTTTATTATTAATACAATTCAAACAGTTAATTGTTATTTTTTTACATGGCTGAATTGGGAAGGGTACTATATAAGGTCGTATGTAGTATAAGATTTACAAAATTTTGTACAAAATAACATACAATTTTGCAGATCCTTTATTACTGTTTTACGAAAAGAAACAAGCAACGATTTATAAATTTGCCCGCTTTACAGAATTTCGATTTTTCTTATAAATCAATTAAATTGAATTAAATAGAATAATATTGCATTTGAAATATGATTGAGTGCATTACATAGTTTTAATTTAAAGTTATTAAGATAAAATCTAACAAAATAAATATTAAATAAAAATCAAATTAAATTTTAATAATTTATACTTATTATTCATGAAAATAATTGATTAATTATGTTTGCTAAATGAAAAATATGATGATTTATCCTGCAAAGCAGACAAGGAGACAATATCGTACCTCACATAGAGCTCACCCAATTCGCCTTGACTTAATAAGCCATTCTTGTCATGAGAAGCCGATTCTGATATAATTGGATTGTTTCTGACACCATTTTGGGCATGTGTATTGGACCCATTTGTTAGATGTTTATTCTTTACATTTAGGCTGGCTATACATGCCTGTCTCTTGGCCGAGGATTCGATGCTATAAACACACTCCTGT